CCTCCTGAGTAGCTGGGATTACAGGCACGTGCCACCATGCCCAGCTAATTTTTTGTAGTTCTAGTGGAGACGGGGTTTCACCACGTTGACCAGGATGGTCTCGATCTCTTGACCTCGTGATCCACCCGCCTCGGCCTCCCAAAGTGCTGGGATTACAGGCGTGAGCCACCGCGCCCGGCCCTTACTTTACCTCTTAAGGAACTAGAAGAAAAAGCAGCCTAGGCAGAAGGAAGGAAATAATAAAGAACAGAGCAGAGATAAATAAAACAGAAAATAGTAAAACGGAAAAAAAAAACAAAAATTGGCTCTTTGAAAAGATCAACAAAATTAACAAACCTCTAGCTAGACTAAGAAACAAAGATGACTCAAATTACTAAAATCAGAGAAGTTGGGACATTACTGAATTTGCAGAAATAAAGGGTTCTAAGAGACTATTATAAAAAACTGTATAGCAACAAATTGGACAACCTCGATGAAATAGACAAATTCCTAGAAACACTATACCAAAACTGAATGATGAAGAAATAGAAATGATTACACTTTAGACAACTGAGGAGATTGAATCAGTAATCAAAAACCTCCCAATAAGAAAAGTCTTAGACCAGATGGCTTCACTGATGAATTCTACCAAACATTTAAAGAAGTATTAACACCAGTTCTTCCCAATTTCTTACAAAAAGTTAAAGAGGGAAGAACACTTCCTAACTCAATGAGGTCAGTATTACCCTGACACGAAAGCCAGTTGAAGATAATACAACAAAAGTATGTACAGACCAGGATGCAAAATACTAGCAAACAGAATTCACTGGCATAGTAGTGGGAATATCCACCATGACCAGGCGGAATTTATTCCTGGAATGCAAAGATGATTCACCATGCAAAAATCAACCATCATAATATAGTACATTAACAGAATGAATGACAACTAAAAAAGCACATGATCATTTCAACTGATGCTGAAAAATTTGACATTTGACAAAATTCATCATCCTTTCATTATGAAGACACTTAATAAACTAGGAGAAGGAAACTACCTGAAATGATAAACAGCATGAATGAGTAACCCACAGCTAAAGTCACACTCAATGATGAAAGAAAGTTTTTCCCTACAATTGGGAATGTGACAAGGATGCCCACTTTCACCACTTTTATCCAACACAATACTGAAAGTCCTAGACAGAGCAATTAGACAAGAAAAATAAAAAGTATCCATATTGCAAAGCACGAGTAAAATTCTGTTTAGAGATGACATGATCTTATATGTAGGAAATCATAATGATTCCACACCGAAACAAAAACAACCAGTACCAGCCACAGACACTATGAAGAAACTGCATCAACTAATGGGCAAAACAACTAGCTAGTATCAAAATGGCAGGATCAAATTCACATATAACAATATTAACCTTAAATGTAAATGGGCTAAATGCCTCAATCAAAAGACTCTGGCAAATTGGATAAAATACATCAGTGTGCTATATTTAGGAGACCCATTTCACATGCAAAGACACATACAGGCTCAAAATAAAGGGATGGAAGAAGATTTACCAAGCAAATGGAGAGGAAAAAAAAAAAAAACGGGGGTTACAACCCTAGTCTCTGATAAAACAGACTTTAAACCAACAAAGATCAAGAGACAAGGGGTGGGAGGATCCAACATGGCCAATTAGGAGCAGCTCTGGATTGCAGCTCCCAGTAAGAGTGCGGGGGGTGAGTGGACACTGCATTTCCAAACGGATTTTTATTGCCCACAGATCAGGAGAATCCCAGGCAGAGGAGCCCCATGGGTCCAAAACAGCATGGCTGTTTTGCCTGGCATGGCAGGTCTCCGCACAAAACACACAGGTCCGGGAGCCGTTTTAGCTGGCGATTGGAGTGCCTGGGAGACAGAGTCACCCATTCACCTGATAAAAAGGGGACTGAAACAGGGAGCCAGGCCAGGAAATTCCCAGGTGAAAAAGCACCAGAAATCTCCAGCGTGGCTGTTTAAGCCAGCACAGTGGGTCGCTGCATGGGAAATCACACAGATCCCAGCGCCTTTTCAACAGGCTACTGAAGAGCCTGGGAGACAGAGTGGTCCATTCAACTGATAAAAAGGGGACTGAAACGGAGCCAGGCCAGGAGATTCCCAGGCAAAAAAGCACCATGAGCCCCCAGTGTGGCTGTTTCAGCCAGCGCAGCGGGTCTCTGCACAAAATCTCACACAAATCCGGGCACCTTTTCAACTGGCGACTGGAATGCCTGGGAGACAGAGTCGCCCATTCAACTGAAAAAGGACTGAAACAGGGAGCTAGGCCAGGAGATTCCCCAGTGAAAATGCACCACGAGTCTCCAGCAGCTGTTTCAGCTGGTGCAGCAGGTCTACGCACAAGAAATCACACAAATCCAGGTGCCGTTTCAACTGGGGACTGGGATGCCTGGGAGACACAGTCGTCTATTCAACTGAAAAAAAGGGCTCTGAGGCAGGTGATCAGACTCGACCGGTCCCACCCCCACAAAAAACAGCAATCTGAAATGCTCTGGATTGAGAGTTTCACAACAAGCACAGCTGAACCTGGGACAGTCCAGCTCTGAGGGGGATGGGCGTCCGCCATTACTGAGGCAGTCCACCAATACTGAGGTACTCCACCATTGCTGAGGCAGTCTGCCATTACAGAGAGAGTCCGCCATTAAAGAGGTAAGCCACCATTTGCCAAGGCAGTTCTAACTATACCCCTATAAACAGGACTACAGGGAAGTTCACACGGCAGCTGGGTGGCACCCACAGCAGCTCAGCAACACCTCTGTTGGTAGACTGTGACTAGGGTGCCTCCTTGGTGGGCAGGGCAGCCCTGAAAAAAAGGCAGCAGCATGACAGAAATTTATAAAAAAAAATCCCTACCTTCCCAAGACAGAGCACCTGGGGAAAAAAAGGCATTTATGAGTTCTGCTGCAGCAGACTTAAATGTACCTGCCCAGCAGCTCTGA